AAGGCGCAGTGGGCAATATAATGAAACTTGGTGGGTAAAATTTTTATGTGACATTGTATGCACGGTTGCCAGTTATGGTACTTTAGTACCAACATTGGTACTTTTTTTTTCGTTTGGTACTTATGTTCAAAAAATGGTATATTTTTGACGACCCAACTTTATTGTGGATATTTCCAATTAATTTTTTTTATAAATGCAACATTGCACTATTTTATATTTTGTTCATTTATAACACTATGAAAAACACAGAACAAAAAAACAAAAAGCTCCAAAAAAATTTTGGAACTTTTTTTACAGAAATGGTACCTTTTTAAACCAATTTTAGTACAGAAAAAAATCTTCAAGTGGCAACCGTGATTGTATGGGACTCGGTTTTTCGCACTTTTTAATATTTTCACCTTATTACACAAAATTTTGAACAATAATTGAAAAATTTTATACACAATTTTTATGTTTTTTTTGCCTATCAGCTTCATTTCTTTATATTCTTTGCTATTACATTCAATTGTTATTTCTTTCTGTTATTTCGATATTTTAAATTGAAAATTTTTACATGCTTAACTTTAAAGTCCAAAATTAAAAAGTTTTTTCAAAAATAAATTGATACTAAATTTTGACACGATGTTATTTAATTCTTTGTTATAATAATAAATAAATACAAAAATAAGAGGTGTTTTCGGCAGCCTGCAATTGTGGCAAAAAACAGCAAGTATCTTGTCTATAGGCGCTAAGCAAGACATTGGCATCACTGTTGCAATCTGTCAAATATCAAATTTTGTATATGTGCACATAATGCAATTAAATTATATTTTTGAACATTTTGAACATATTACATACTGAAATTTTCTTTAACAAAAAAAATAATAATAGTTTAGAATATTTAAGCAAATAATAAGTTAAAAAATTTAAATAATTTTCAATTATATTTTCTCCATGTACTGCTATAAATTTTTGAATATTTGTATGTACATATTTTTAAAATATTTATTTTCCACAATTTTGCATATTTTTAAATATTTCATTTCTACATTTATCAAATGTGTGAAACTTTTTTATTTTGTTTACAAACTTTGGACATATGATTGGAATTTTCGTTAAAATTTCCAATGAAGGTTCACAATAGTTCACTTATTGCGTTGGTAACACTTTTTTTTAGTGACCAAAGTGCTTCAGTCATTTCAGAACTAGGTGCTTAAATAAAGTTGTGAAATTTCTTCAATTTCGCAATTGTTTTCACAGTCATACTACACACACCCGACACCTTTAACATGTAGATTACCAAAAAATCCTTTAGTCCCGGTTATTGAGCATGTACATGTTTCTTTAAATTTGATGTCAATTTAATTAAAAAGACAATGTCAATGTGGTATCAAATCGGCTACTGAGTACATGCATTGTAAAACTAGTCCTAAATATTTAACCGACTTAGATGCAAATTACAAAACTTGAACAATTAAATGTTGACTTCGTCAATTGGGTCTTGCACCCAAGATATATATTTATCATAAAATATAAGAGTACTAAGTTTTATCACAAGATTAACTAGTCTCACTCCTCGTACGACGGGTTGTAGGGTATTTGCGAGCATAGTAAAATACGTGCCTTAGTGGTAACAGAGGCACTCTACGAAAGGCTATTTAAAACATTCTTAATATATACATACAATCGTTCAAAATTGGTACTTATGGGTTATTTCGATTAATATAAAGCTTGTTGTGTTTGTGAAAAACTGTGTTCACAATACTTCTTTCTCAATTATGTACGGTACTACGCGAAAATTATAGTTGAAGTAAACTTGAAGTGCTTTTCAACGTAAAATCAATCTATAATTATTAAACCTAGATAAGTAACCTAGTTATACAGTCGGGTATCTGATATCCCTTAATTTCTGTGTGTTTTAATAGCAGATTGATTTTCGTAAGCTACACAAGTTTGAATTGGATAAGGAAAGTTACCTTGTCTGTAGATGCCTTGCGCATCCCTATTAAGGCTTATCTATTATGATTTCTTAATGCTTTTAGTGAAGTACGAAACCTTAAGAGTCTGCATATATGTACATATATACATATCTTCGCGTTAACATATCCAATAAAGTATATTTATCTTTTATCAAGTTAACAATCTTGAGTAACTAATTAGTTTTTGTTTACACACAATAATAACATTAATAATTCGGTTTGTTACCAAGTGGCGCTGATTTGTTTATATTATTCGCTGGATTAGTTACTTTCTCGCTACAACTTTGTTTATACAGGCTAGTCTGCACGGATGTATGTACATATATATATGTGTACATAGAGTCGGCTTCAATAATTTGCAATTTATCTATTTATTCATACGATGAATGTTTTTTTTTATAAATAATATTCAGATAGCAACAAATATTTTGCAACTGTGAGAATAACTAAATTGAAAAACCATTTGTTTTGTCTCCGTATTCCATTACCATAGAATATAGTATTCCTGATATGATAGATCAAACCATTGGATCCTGAGAGCCAGTCCGTTCTGTGTAGTTTCTCAATTGTATAAAAAAAATATAATATAACATGTGTTTAATAATATATGTTCTGACAACGTAACTTAAACCATAAACGTATTTTTTTACAATTATTAGCTAATAATGTGAATTGAGTCTAGAGGCATTTAATCTAGAGTCTAGTGTCATTTAACAACATTTATCCGATACGGCATATAACTACTTTGGATGTTATGGGCATATTTTAATAATAGGTTGTCGTATCACAACCTATTCAAATAATCTATAAAGGAATTTAGGAAGAAGAATATTAAGCGGTATTCCGATCTTTATTCCTACAGTAGAAACCACGATATGCTTCTGTGTAAACCTTGTTTATAATACGCTGTTTTGATAAAATGGTTTACTTTATAGATTACATGGATAGGTATATATACATATATCATCATACCTTATAAATACGTTTGTATGTATTGTACGTAGATAATTGTCTATAAAAAACTTTAAGATAATTATAAAAATTTTAAAGAATTAAGTATACCATATGAATAATCAAATCATTTTGCAATTAATAATTATATTGTTTATTTATGATGAGCAATTAAATATAGAACATATGTTTAAGGCACTGCTCCACTTGGAGCAAATAATTTAATTAGTTTTTGATACTATGCAGCTCTTTAAATTAGTTAAATTTTTTTATTATAAAATTATTTACTTTTGATCGTAAAGCCGTCAGCTTTTTATTTTTTTGTCTTCTTGGTTCTGTCTCTTTGCAATTAAAATTTTCACAACCAATAATAAATCCTGGTTTATGGATTAAATAGCACGATAACGTTCTGGATTAAATAGTACGATAACGTTCTGGGTAGAGTGAAAAGCAATCACCGCTTATTCATTGATTAGAGATAAACGCATCTGCAGTGTGAATCTGCAGTAGAACTGTTTAAAGCCAGCTCTACAAAAAAAATAAAACACTAGAATAATATCTATACTTGCTAAAATTCTTCACTTGAATTTTATCCCAGCAGTCTCGCAATCTAAGTGCTTCGTGATAAGAAATACAATAAGCTATTATATTAATTAAAATTAATCATAGTTGAGTAAAGATTCTGTACGGTGTGGTTTTTATAATGAATCTAATCCATCTAATGAATGTTTCTCTTCTTCTTCTTCTTGAGTTAGTGCTATTACGCACTTTTACTCTATAATGGCTGGGGGGCTTATCTCTACCCCATACTAGGCTTTAACTAGGCTAAAAAAAATCATATCATTTATTTGTCTTTTAGTTGATGACGGACCTTAAATCAGCATATCTTCCTGAGAGTCCAGAAGTGGACTTGAGGATTGTTAGTGCGGGGTTAATTATCGTATCGACTTTAGTGAATAATTTTATGTTTATGAAATGATAAAAATCTACTGCTTTTAATCATCATTATTCAGATATTAGGACTAATGTGACTATAGGGCGGGACTTTAGAAAATAAATTTTCTCATAAATTTTCCTCTTTTACAGACAGAAAACTAACGTTTAATTTATTATAAACTATTATTTATCTAAACTACTAAACTATATACATCTACTATAATCTAAACTAGAAAAATAAATCTACTCAGATCTAATCAATTCAAATAAAATTAATTTTTATGCAATTAACTAAACTCTTTCCATGTAAAACTTGTAAGGAATAACACAGGGCAACGCCACCAGCCTTTTCATCGCAATTAAGCGACTACACCTACTCAAAGACATATTTATAAATTATAAATTAATAAAAATAAAATAAAATTTAGATATAATTATTAACATGAATATAAACACAGGACGAAGGACCTAGCAGTTCATTTCTTAGTTAACTTTAACTCACAAATAAATAAACAGAACTGTGTGGCTATATCTTTGTGTTTATTGATCATCTGCTATTCTATTCTAAAATTATAAATAAATAAATACTGACATAGTACATACATAGTACTTTCACCAAGAACATTTATTACTAATCTAAATATTAATACTTTTATTTAATTATGTAAATTTACATTAATATTTATATTCATTGTTGGTACTGCTGAGTTTTATTCCCGAAATCATTTGTCTGTTCAGACGACCAAGTGTGAAGAACCCAAAAAAAAGGTTCCTCACAATTATAACAGATGTTTTTTGTGGACCATTATATATACTGTATAGCAACACATAACAGCAAAAGGTTTTAAATTACAACAATTACCAATATAATATAAACCAAATGGTTTTAAATAAATTGTGAATTTTCTGTTAATTTGTGGAAAACACACCCAAATGACTGTAACGAAAACAGGCAATAATTTTGTTTTTACATAAAATGGCTACTGGCTGCTATTGCCTTGAATGAATCACTTTGATTTTCTAACATTTTAGTGTGATAATATTTTTAGATTTAATTAAACTTTATTTATTGAATATGAATATATATTAAAAACATATTGAAAACAGTTAAATTAGCTGCGTACAATAATTTTAAATATGATTTCAAGAAGCTTCTTTATGTTTTTAATTGAAATATATAATTACAGTACTTTAAATGATTTTGAAATTACGTTTTGAAATATAATTTTGTACGCTCACTTCTCCTCGCACCACTCGTTCTCTTTGCGAACTTGCTCCTCCTCTGTTGGCGTAAAGTCGTTCTTAATATTAAAAGTTTTGCGTATTTCCTCAGGTGTTTTGCCTTTGATCATATTGGCCACAGTTTTGCAAGTTACGTCAAGTAAGCCTTTGATGTCTAAATAATTAGCGGCCAATATTAATTCAAACAAGGTACCCTGATCAACCTTAAGGAAATCTGCATCCCACGAAGAGATGTCATCAGTACGTTTTTCTTTGTTTTCGTCATCTTCGGTGGGCTGCGGATCATCCTTGTGGTAATTTGCCCAGTGCAAAACTTTACGAAGAATAGCCGAGTTAACATTAGGTAAAGGAACCATGGCGTTGTCGCCATCTTCCATGCCACAATCTTCTAACATTGTTTTAATAGTACCAGAGCACTTGGCAATCTGTACGTCTGTATCGAAGATCTCATTGTCTGAACTTTGCAATTTAATGGTAGGCATTTTTACAATGAAACTAGAAAAAATAAAATTAATTTAATATGAATCTTTAAACTATAATAAGCGCAAATTGTGTAAAAAGTTATTGCAATTTTATAATTTCACACTTACTTTGGTTTTCGGTTTTCGTCAGTTCCTTTATTCACAAAATTTTACTTTGCGTCCCGCACGAACAATTTCTTTTGACAAACTGAACCGATATGAGGATGTAGAGAACACAATCAAAAGAAACTAAAAACGAAACACAGAGCTCGATGGCGATAGTTCAGTGATTGCACAAATTTGTTATCGATTATTTTTTTTCGAAAAACAAATTTAATTTTGCTCCGTGATTAAAACTATTTCTTTCAATGACAAATGATAAATAAATATTTTTCCAAATATGACCAGCTTTTATATGTTGCTTTGTTGAAAAAATATGTTCAAAAGTAAGTAGGTATGTCAAAACGAATAATTTGGTTTGAGCTGCCAGATTAGTAAAAATATTACTACATTAACAAATTCAGCAAGTATAATTGAAAATACTAACAATACATTTACAAGCAGGTATTCATTTATTACACCTAATTCCTTCGAATTATATGTATACCTAATACTTGTGATGTCCGTTTGTTAGAATTTTAATTATTGTGCCCATATACATTACCCTTACTTAAGCAGGTAGAAATTTGGGTTTGATGTATGATGAAAATGAGTATGTACACAAATATAATCATTTTATATAGTTGAAATAATGCAAATGAGAACGTATTTTATTCTAAGAATAATATTATATTACCAAAAAAAATATAAGATTAGTTTTTAAATTGTTATAATTAGTGATATAAATTTCCTTGTATTTTTAAACGGTTATCAATAAAAATATTTTAGCTGTTACAGACCTTATTTGAGGAATGACATCTTGCTCGATATTTCAATGTCACAATAATTAGCAAATTAATACAATGACAAATGCCTGAATGCCTTTTCTTTTAATTGAATTTCTATATTTACTGTTTTTTGAAATAAAATTGAATTGCTAAAGTATATGCTTACTTTTGCTCTTATTGTTGGTTATTAAATCAAAAAAGTAGTAAGATTAAATTTAATATTAAAACATAATTTAATTTTTACTTAATTTTTTATTTCTACAAATACATTTTTATTTATTATTTATTTAAGCCCTTCAAAATATAAATTTTAAAATTTGTAATAATAAATATATAATATGGTATAATTTATTAATATATAAATTAAATATATTATGTTGAGGCTAGTTGAGTCAGTGCACCTGAGCACTTTTACTCTCTATTAACTGCGAGGTTTCTTCAAAACGCCTCTTTGCGCCTTGACTAGATTATTGTTTACCACTTCATCAGACTAAGCAATAATTGACCTCAGATCTGCATATATATTATAATTATATATATTAAATATATAATAAAAAAATTAGCTAATATTTTACCAAATAACGAAAAACTAATAATTTATTTGATGCCCTAGTAAATCATTAACTCGATTATATGGATTCACACGAGGCTTTTGATTGTAATTTTAATTGACATTTTAATTATTCCTGATTTTGATAGGAAAATAAGTTCAAATCAGGAAGACTTGTATGATAATTTTGACAGTTGAAAGTAGAATTGAATCGTAAGTTTTACAAAATCAAATTGATTTTAATTTGTGCCCCAATAGAATAGTTCTGTGGAATAAATGAAATTTTCATACAATATGGAACAAAACTATCATTTATCATATGTATATATTATATCATATGTATATATGTTATGTTTTCATCATTGTATTGAGTTGAGCTTGCATACTATCCATAAGTTTCTTAATGTGGGAAGCCGGCAAATAGGAATTGGACGGATGTTGCTGGGTTGTGCTTTTTTTCTTCACAGCATTGGCTTACGATAATGAGGGTTGCACTTTGAAGCTGACTGGTGAGATTAGTGTTGAGACATTCTTTTTCTTCAGGTTTTGAGGAGTGCAGGGGCATCCTCTGTAGTTAGCTGGGTGGCCGGCACCACAGCTTGAACAAATCGGGGCAGTATCGGGCGATTTTGTGCATTGTTGGTGATGATGCGAGCCCTCGCACTTAACACACTTGGGTGTGGCTCTGCAGTTAGTAAAACGTGCCCGAACTGCTGACAATTATGACATTTAGGTGGACCTTTTAGAGAGCGCTGGGCTCCGACTATCATCTTCAAATAGCAAATGCTACAGACATTATAGATGTTCTTCTGGTCTGCTGGCAGTCGAATTTTGACAGATTGCTGGTTACTTGTCAAGTTTTCAAAAAGTGGCATTCGAAGATGCTAAATTCTTGGATTACAAGATCTTTTTTAATAACTTCTAGGCTCTGCCACTTCAGACTTTTAATTATTATATTGACGTGTTTTTCGTCGGGAAGAAAGTGGGTGTGAAATGGCTCACTGATCTCTTTCAAACATCTTGTTATCTTGCGGTGGTCGTCTATTGTGGTAGGAGTTATTTGAATGTCCAAATGAACCTTCTTTGCCTTGCTAAAATTAAGGTTTCTTGTTAGAAATTGCTTGACTAATCAGCTACAGGTGTTGGTTCGACGAAGCACGATGGGAATAACTTTGCCTAGTTTCTTGTTAGAGGTATCAGGTTGTACAAGGTTTCGATTCGTTGTACTGCCAGTAACATTACCCTTAGTTCGGTTGTTTTCTGGCGTGAAGATCTGCTCCGTAGTTGGAAATTGAGGATTTTCCGTTGATATTTTTATATGTGCAAAGTATTTATTTATATATCATATATACAAAATATATATTTTGTGAAATAAAAATAAATTTTGTGCGCAGTTAAGAAAATTGGACATATGATAAATCTGACAATCAAAAAATACGTCGTGTTAATCGATATTTTTGAATTCAGATAAAAGTTTAAAATTTGTGACATCTAAAATTACAATTAAAACTCTGGTGTGAATCTAGTATAACTCAGTAATGTAATTCTATAGCAACATATATACATAAATGTTAAAATTTTACCGACTACATTTCATTAACACTAATATAAAATAATATAATACCAAATTAATAGTTTAACATTGCTCCTCACTATGTGGATTAAAGAATTGTTTTTTATCTATCTTGTCCAAAAAAAAAAAATTAAATGTGTTACATACTACTAAAAAATAAGGATTAAAATTTAGAAAATTGTGTTAAATGTTACAATTATGTATACATATATGTATGTTTCCATTGCCTTTGTTAAAACTTTCGTTGATTAAGTGATTTTTAACTTATACCATGTTTTCACTAGCCTCATTTAGAGAGTTTCGCTCATTACGGCCGCTAATGAGAATAATTTACCATACAACCATAAAAAGGGCTTTCAACTGAAATGCTCAAAATATTTGTCATATGTTTTATATATAAAATGCAAACAAACAACAGCTGAACTGAAAACAAAAGCACTGAGAAAGTGAGTATTTAATAATATCTTTGTTTTCATCAATTGAATATGTAATAGACATATAAAATATATAAAAATCATTCAATACATCAATTACATATATAATTTTTTTGTATGATATATTATTAAGGAAAGTTTATTTATTTCAAATGGATAGCGACAACAATACAAAATGTTTTTCAGTAACTATAATTCTTTTCAAAGCATTTTACGCTGTTCTTCTAGATCTTTCACAAAACTTTGTGACACATAAAAGCTTTATCACATGCATAAATTAATTAATGCCAGTGAAGACGGCCAAATTTTAATTTGATTTAGTTGCAGTGGATTTAGAAGAAATGAACATAGGAAATTGGAGGACTGTATATAAATTGGAGGAACATAGTATTATTAGTTTTTTTATGGCATAATTGATTTCCGAAGTTGTGGTGCACCATTTTACTTTCAGTAATTTATTTTTTTAAGAATCTGTAAGATTCTTTTGTAATATATTTAGAAGTTAAAAATATTTTAAATAAACTTTATTTTTATATAAAAATATATATGTATATAACTTTATATGTATTATTTTAGATAAAGAGAAGAATTAGATTGCATAAAGAGTTTACAAAATATTTAATCAATGATAAACAATGATAACAGATAAGAACTTAAACTTTTAAGTAGGCCTTATATTCTAGAATTTAGGAAAAATTAAAATTTATTTTGAGCATTATCTGCGGTTCAAACCAGAGATCAAATATAAAACTTCTTGAAAATGTTTCCAAATAATTATAAATGTAATGTAAATAGAAACATGATATAGAAAGAAAAATTAAAAATTCTTTAAAAGTGCAAATGATGCTTGAGCGTCATTAACAATAGCTGATGCCAAGTAATGTACGGCAGTTATTATTAGTTATTATTAGTTGCTATATTCACCGAGACTTGGACATATGTTGCCTTAAAAAGTAAACAAAGCTGCAAGGCGTTAATCTAAGATGCCTTTCTTTTAATATTACTTAGGTAAAAATAGCGCCTTCCATATGATATAACTTTTTACGTGTAAGAGTGCCTACAGAGTAGAACATCTAATACTCTTACTAAATATTATATCTACCTGTTTTCTAATCTATTATATTAAATATGACAGCTGTCAAAACTTTTATTTTTGATTTTTAATATTAAATTTTTATTATTGGTGACATTATATATACAAACATGAATTTTTATGTAATAAAATATATTATGAATATATATATATATTACTCTGTATGAAAGATATAAAGGATATAAAGTTATATATAAGATACGAAGTTAGCAATTATTGAAAATAATTTCTGTCAAAAAAATTTAGTTTCATTGTAAATGTATCGATAATTTTTATTCTTTGTGTTTAAAGAAATATTTTTAGTGCAATCGATTACTCATGTTATAGCAGTGATTAGTGCTTGTCAAATTATATGAAATGTTTGCCAATTCAAAGAATTCAAGTAAAATCCGGAAATCAGAGTAATTAAACATTTATATATTTTATAATTTTTGAGAAGATATTTATTATTTTTTATATTTATTTATTATTGTTTTATGTATTCTGTTCTTCTTCTTCTTGTTCTTGACTTAGTGCTATTACGCACTTTCACTATATAATGGCTGGGGGGCTTATCACTACCCCACACTATTCTTTAACTAGGCTAAGAAATCATATCATTTATTTATCTTTTAGTTGTTGACGGACCGTAAATCAGCATATCTTCCTGAGAATCCAGAAGTGGATTTGAGGATTGTTATTTTATGTTCCTTTAAATATAATTATATCAAATTTTGAGTAAAATTTCCATGCAAAAAACAAAAAGAGTAAAAATATATGCTGAAAGTGACAGTTGTGTTTGATATAATAGATCTGTTAGACGAGCTACTCGTAGTCACGGTTGC